GATGGGGTTGCAAGAAAGGTGCTTGGCTGGAGGGGAGGGAGGAGACTTAGTTGTTTCCTGTGTTAGGGCCTGGGCGGGAACTAGAGCCGGAAGGAGACCCGCCCTGCCCCACCCAGACCACAGGGAGGGGTTGGAGCAATGTGCCTGCACACAAAGTCTTTGTGCCCCAGCCTGTGGCCAATGGCCAATGATCCTCTCCCAAGACATCCTCAGTCTTCTCTATCTTTCTGTTTACAAACCAAGTCACTGTGGAGAGCCTGTCAGTACCTCTCTGCCTTCTGCCCATGGGAGGAGAACTGACCTGCCTGCTCCTTGGCCACAGAATCCCTTAGTATGTGGGACCTGCCCTTCCCCAAGAAGCCCTGTCTGGGTTCCTCTTCCTCCGCTGCCTCTCACAAGAGTGCCCTCTGCTCAGCTATAATACTCCTACAGGCCATGTGGCCGGCAGTAAGTCACTGTCCTCTCCAGGATCAATGTTCTCATCCTTAAAATGGAGAGGATACTGCCTCTCTCATGAACTCATTTTTATGAGAATGAGGTAGAATAATGATAATGAGCACAAAATGCTGAGCTCATTTCCTACCTTATCCTCTCCTTCGGTCAGGATCACAGCCTCTTGACTCCTGTGCTTAGTGGGGCTCCTGGTCCCCTACCTTTCCTGGGGAGCTTCCTGGCACACAGCAGTCCTCCCCTGGGAGGCAGGCATGAAGCCCTGCTATATGCAAGACCATCTAGCATGCCATACCCCTAGATCCCCAGCTCATTCCTGTCTTCTCTCTGCTTCCCTTACTGACAATGTGAGCTCCAATGTCACTTCTGCTAGTTGTGTCCTAAGACACCCCACAAGCCCCAGAGCATCATCTCAACTCATTGAGATTGTTTGGACCCAAGGGTGGGGACTGCCCACTTCATCTCAGTGTCCCCAGTGCTCAGGCCACCCCTATGTGAGATGAAACGTGGGAGCTTCAGCGGGAGGAGGGTTTGGAAGGGGGCACAGCCCTGATCCTGATGCCTTTGCCTGTCTGTCCCAGGAGGATCATGCTATGGCCCAATCACAGGAAGGAAGAGGTGACAGGTACCTGGGCTATATGGGAAGCAGGGTCGGAACAGCTCCAGCCCTTAAGGACAGTCACTTTCTGGGCAGCCACTATCTCTTTAAGGCATGCTTTCAGGCACTCATTTCAGCTTGTGTGGTGTGTGTGTGTGTGTGTGTGTGTGTGTGTGTGTGTGTGCCGCTGACCCCTTCCTTGATGATGAGGACCCATATTCCTTTCCTGTTTCCTTCTTCTACGGGAAGAGGTTGGGACGGGGGAGGAAGGAAAGCCAGGACCCTTGCCCCACATTTACCTGAGCTGCAGGTTCTTCATGAAGTCCTCCATGGATACTTGGTCCAAGAGCACAAAGTCAGGTTTGCCATACTCAGGACCCTCCTCATCTTCCATTCTGCCTGATGGAAACACTCAGGCCAGGATACTCTGACCTTTCTGTGCAAGATGTAGACAGGAGGGGAAGCCTGGAGAGGCCCAGCCCCCTGCTAGACTCCTACAGCATTGTGGTAAAGTAGGAAGTGGGTTCTGGCCCTCAGAGGGCGGCCCTGCCCATTTGCTGCTCCCTCCCCAGGGGTGCTTGAGCTGCTTCCTGCTACCAGAGCAGGAAAGCCTGTGTCTAATGGGTTCTCCCTACTCTGGAGGGGTCCTTGCTGCCCTTCTCAAAAGCTCCTATTTAACCCCCAAGCGGAAGAGACTCTGTGGGTTGGTTTCCAGTCCTGGCTGCATGTTAGGGTTTGCTGTGGGACTTTAAAGAAAAATTTTTTGACATGGTCATGGTCACCCAGCCACACATATTTGTCAACACAGAACTGAAAACTAAATGAGCCCAGCATGGTGGTGCACGCCTTAATCCTAGTAACTCTAGAGACTGAGCCTGACCTGGAGGATCACAAATTTGAGGCCAGACTCAGCAATTTACCAAGACCCTTTCTCAAAATGAAAAATTTAAAAGGATTGGGGATATAGCTCAGTACTCAGTAGTAAAGCGCTCCTGGGTTCAATTCATAGTCCCTCACCCCACCCCTACAAAAGAATTCAATAGAGGTGAAATTTACTGCATATACATTGTATCTTAACACAAAAGTGAAAAAGGATACTGATACCTGAGACCCTGGGGTAGAGGACCAAACAATAGCATTCTTTAAAGTGCCTGCTAGCCACAACAGGGTATAAGATACAAAGTCTTCCTGTCTACCTTATAGAGATTCCAGTGGTGGGGACTCAAGTTGCTGAAATTTCCCACTTTATTAACCAGGGAGGGACACAGGCCCCTATGAAGTTCTCTGTGGAGGCCAGTTGCAATAAGACTTATGTCCATGTCTTTTGCTTCCATCCAGCCTTCATGGATGGTAGATGAGGTCATACAGGCCTGGAGCCCTCAGGTCTCATCTCAGCACTCACAGATCTCAGCCCCTGGTCATCAAGATATGTGGATACAACCGCACATTTGGATAATGGCCCAGTTGGTCATGGCTCAGATTTGTCTTCAACAGTACTACTGACTGAGGGGTCTGCTTGCAAGCACACAGGGAAGTTCTCTTTCAATCCTCCCTCAAGCAGGAAGTCTAGATGGTAGACTCCAGTATTCTCAAACTGGAGTCATTTGTGTACCATCTTGAGATTTGTTATATTCCAACACTTAACAGTTTTTTCTCAATCTTTTCACTTTTTAGGCTTTAAATTGTTTGTTAATGCAAGTTATTTCTTATCTCTATAAAATGCCTTAAAATGAAAGCATATTTAATAAAATTTTAAGTGTTTATCCAAATACCTGGTAAAACTAGGTACCATTAGTGATAAGGAGTCACTGGTCCCCCAAAATCCCCTGCTCCAGCCAGGCATGGTGATCAGCAGGTCTATAATCCCAGCTAGTCAAGAGGCAGTAGAATTGATGGGTACGTTGGCACATGCTTGTAATCTCAGTGGCTCTGAAGATTGAGGCAGGAGGATCTCAAGTTCAAAGCCAGCCTCAGCAACTTAGCAAGGCCCTAACTCAGGAAGACAATCTCTAAATAAAATATTAAAAAGGGCTGGGGATGTGGCTCAGTGGTTAAATGCCCCTGGATTTAGTCCCCAGTACCAAAAAAAAAAAAAAAAAAAACAAACCTCAAAATAAAAATTTCAATAGAAGGGCTATAGATTTAGTTCAGTGGTAGAGTACCCCTGGGTTCCATCCCCAGTACCCAGAGTAGGGGATCCCCATATCCAGAAATGGGGTTCTGACTTCACATTGGCAGGTATTTTTGAAGGGTTTCAGAAACCTAAGCTCCAGTGTGGGGAAATTCTTAGTCTCAGTCCCTTTTCAGTTTCACTTCTGCAACCCCCAAAGAATCAAGCAGACCTGGGTTTGTATTAATGATTTTAATTGATGTAATTGAGTTTTAGTAAAACCCTAGACACTGAAGTCTGAACTACACAAATTTTTCACCTGTCACAAAAAATATACTTTGAGGTTTTTTTCTTCCCCTATTTGAAAATGTCAAGACCATGTTGAGCTCACAGATTGGCTATGGGTGGAGCTTAAACACTTTGAATGACCCAGGGCGTAACCACAGTCATGACTGTGTCTCTTCCACCCTGAAGGTTTGCACAACCATATGCCTCTTGTTGCCTTTTTTGATTCCCAGGACCCATGCTACTGTTATTCTCATTTCATGTCTACTGAAGCCAATGTCCAGAGATGACATCACATGAAGGAAGTTCCCCCTGGGCCTTTCCAGCACTGAATTCAATGACTCCTACCTATTCTGACTTCAAGGATTGGGCAGTCAGTCTTTGGTCCTCAGCAGGCAGGGTAAGTGGTAGCCACTTTACGGTTAGTAGGCTGCCACCTACTCAAGCCTGCTGGGATTGAGGCTCTAGCCTTGGCAGCAGTTTTATTAATTATCTGACCTAGATCAGTTTCTATAGACATCTTTCTTTGCAAGAGCCCGTATTGCCACAGCTGTGACCCCCTTGCTCTTGAATCCCTATATAGGACTGCTCCTTACTTTGCAGCAATCCCTAATGCCAGAAAAGCATCCTTTCTCAGTTCACAATTTAGGATTTTAACTGAAATTGATTTTTACCTCATATGAGAATATAGATATGGTTGTCAGTAGTAGGGGAATGATTCCCAGCTGCCAGGAAACCCTACATGTAACCAAATAAGCCACAAAGCTTACCCAAACCCAGAGCCTCCTGGAAGTGATACCATCTCCATTTCCTGGAAGGCTACCCAGGAGCTGCTTGTGTCTCCTGTATGAGGCTTCCTGACCCCATAAACAGCTCAGGGGGTCTAAATCTGTTCCTCAGTGAGAAAACTTACACCTCAAGGTATAGGCTTTTTTGTTTTGGTGTCATCTTTTCATGTATGGGTCAGGGACCTTGAGAGCTGACCTTGGGCACTAAGGTCACTGGCTAAATGTCAGGCCTTGGCCGAGATGGAGATTGAGATCAAGCTGGATAACCTACCCCCATGGGCACAACCTATGTGTGGACTGTGATCAGTTACTTCTAAAATAAGAGATAATCTGTGTCATACTAAGGATTTCAGACTTTTTCTTTTATAGTGCTGGAGCTTTGGTTCTTAGAGCACCCATGGGTGCTCTACCACTGAGCTACATCCCAATCCCGTCTTTTTTTCTTTTAAATATTGAAGGTCTTGCCAAGCTGCCCAGGTTGGCCTTGAACTTGCAATATCCCTGCCTCAGCCTCCCAAGTCACTGGGATTATAGGCCTGCACAACCATGCCCAGGTATACTTAGATTCTGACACTTGTTTTGTGAACACTACCCAGCATGCCCCATCAGGTGTAACAGGTGGCACATGCACACAAAGTGATCATTTACAAGGTACAAGTATAGAACAAGATGAGACACTAGGGGCCCCCTTGAAATGAACAACTCCTTTGAGGGGCAAGTCTTTCTTACCTTTGCATTTGGCCATGGAAAGAACAAATAGAGGCTGGGGTGAATCACACATTTAAAACCATGTTTATTAAATATCTCATTTTTCATTTGGGAGATGCCAGAAGGGCCTGAAGCCCTTCAGCCAGGCTTATTCTGGAGGCAGAAAAAAATGGGGCCCAAACCTGGACCCAGAAAACTCTCTCAGACACATAGCCCAGGCCAAGAACAAGATACTGCTGATTCCTTTTAGAAGTACATGAGGAAAAAAAAAAAAATAGAAGTACACGAGGCTTCAAATCTGCTCAATTAAGGTACAAATTCTGCTTCACTTCTCACTAGGTGTCAACATGGTCAGGTCAGCCAGGCCTTACTTCTCATTTTCAGTATCCATGTCATCTGTAAAAATGAAATTAGAAATGCCATGGAGGTGTATTATTAAGTGATGTTAACACATAAGTGGGAACTTTTATAAATGCCTTCAGCTCCCCAGGACAATCGCAACCAACCATCTCCTATTGTCACAAGTGGCAGTAACAAAGCTGAATCCTAGTTCCCAACTCCCAACCCCGCTTTCACAGTGATCTGAGACATTTCTGTGGCGCACATGTGCAGCAGCCCACGCATGCCCTTTCCAAGCACACAACTGACTGAACACAGGTTGAATTCAAACCACAAAAGACAGTCAAAAAACATCCCTAAGAACCAAAGCTCCACAAGTCAGACATTAGACAGTTGTCCCCAGTCCTGTGAAATAAAAGACAATTAACCTATCTGGGACTCAAACATCTGACTTGTAACAAGAAGGTCAGAGTTGATAGTGTACTTACACTGCACAGGCACCACAGACTAGCCTAGTAGCTACAGAAGGGATTCAGCTCTGGCATCCTGGGATCACTGCTGCTGAAACACCAAGGAACAGCAGATAGCCTTCTGCTACATGCTGGGCCAGAGACACAGGAAGTAGTAGTTGTTAGGAACTGGAACGTCTATGATGCTCCTCCTTGCAGCTAACAAGGTAGCCTGCCAGTTTAAAACATAAAAACTCCCTAAGGACAAAGGACAGTTGATTCACAGCAAAAGTAGCAGACACCACCACCTCCCAAGCCCCAGTCCCTACATGACACAAAAGGGCAGTCAGAAGGTACCTGTACATACATGTTCTATGAGGCCTTCCTTTAGGATTGATACACACTCTTTTAACCCTCCAACAACTCCCTGGCACTCAGTACCTTTGCTGAGCTGAGTCCTTGGTTTTCTTGGCTTTGTCTTCCACTAATCTCTCAAGGCAGGATTCTTCTGTTACTCTTTGCTATTCTGGTTTAACTCCTACCTTTATTACCCCTGAACTTGCATTTTCAACTTTAAATATTCAATGACTTCACTATCTTTTGCCACCCTCTCCCAAACTCCCATAAAGACAAAAATGTTCTCTAATCTGTAGTCCAACAGTCACCTGCCATACTAGTCTAAACTAGAAAGTGGATTTTACATCTTATTTACTTTAACTATATGTGTATATGTCAAGTGGCTGCAACATTAGACTATGAAGATCTATACAATGCTCAGCATAGCATACCATTATCTGGAAAGGTGCAGTCAGTTGTCTGAAATTTCTATAACCTTGCTCTGGATAGGGCAGGGCAAGGCCTCAAACCATTTCAAGTATTCTGGCAAGCACTGTAGGAATGCAATAGGGTCACTGCAGACCCAAGCACGCTGGAGGCTTGCTACTCACATTCGCTGGCCCACATCCTCCACTCCCCAAGTGTCCCTTAGGACACTCTCCTGAGCACCCAAATCCCTTTCAAAGGTAGAGAACAGAACAGACTATCGAGTCGAATTAGGTACACTGAGCTTGGCTCCAAAAGTCTATGGCTACAGATAACTCTAGCGAATGTTCTTTTATGGCTAAGGAATTAATGCATCTTGGAAAAGGTAATGTTAATTAATACACCAGCAGTAGTTTTTACATTATTCTCTATCTAGGGTGGTGCTTCTTAAAATCATGACCACAGAAATAACCCACGTATCACCTAATTCTAGAAAAACAGGTTTTCCCCACCCCTATATATATATTCAACACATATTTAATATCTTGGAAAACATTTCTGAGTTAGGATATAGCCTAAGACACCTCAGGAACACTTAATTACTCAGAGAAATGTGAGCCTTGGCGAAGCTGGGCTATTCACAACATGACTTACCATGACATCTTCCTGAAGAGCTGCTGTGGATGTAAGCTCTTTTCCCACTTTGTGGGATCGGTCATCTGATCACGACTCCTGCCTAGATGTGGACAAATGAAGTTTCAGTTTGCGCCTTTAGGCCACCATACAGCTGTAATCCCCAAATGCCTGAACCCTCTCTACAGCACCTTTTGAAGTGGGTCTCCCACGAGGTCACAGGTCCCAACCCAGGGGTGGGCTTGAAGGTCATAGGCCCCATCCCCAGTGAGGTCCCTAGAGGTCACAGGTTCCATCCCGCTTAGCGGTGCCCTCTAGGTTACACAGAAGAAACCCCGTTTTTCTTCAGGAGCGAGACCAGCAGAAGAAAGGCACAAGTCGCCCCGCAGTACAGGAGTCTCCTCCAGGGCCCTCGCGAGGGACCAGCACTTGTGGGTAGGGCCCGGCCTCCTACCGCTGAACAGCGACCCCAAGACTCTTAACCCGGCCTCATCAAAGAGCGCAAGCTGCCTGGGGTCTTCGATGGCAGCGGATACTGAAGGGACCGAGGAAGGGATCGCAAAGACCAAGAAACCGGATCACCAGGCACAAATACTGCCGTGCACGCCACCACGCGCCTTGACGTCCTTACGTAGCCCCAGACGCCGTGCGCGTGCGCTACGTGATTTCCGGGAAGATGCGTCAGAGGGATGTGGGCGAAGCCTTGGACTCTGGCGGAGCGCGATCGTGGAACGGAGGTTGGAAGACTCCAAGCTAGTTAAGGTCTCTGCGTTTCCGCTTGGTGGCGTCTCCCCTGCCCTGCGTGCCCTGTTAATAGCAGTAGGCTGGAGCTGCGTCGTCTGAGAAGGGTCCTGTAGCCAAAGAAATGGGCAGGGCAGAATTCTGGCCGACTTGAGCCCCAGTGGTGGGCCTTCCCCCCGGGGCGCTCAGTCGGGTGACTGTGGAAGAGGGGGACTTGAACGCAGGGACTTGGGAATGGACAGGAGCCTGCCTGTGGACCAACTCGTGGGAGAGTGGTGCAGATGGAAAGGCAAATTCGAATTCGACTTAGTGATTTAATTTCCTCATTGTCTCATATGGGAAAATAAGGGAAGGAAAATTCCCATCACATCTCCCCTTTCAGGATTCATTCTCTCTCCTTTTCAAGTTTATGCAAGTCTTTTTAATGGCTGAATAACCTTATGGCTACTCTTAAGGAAGGAATATTACCTAGGAGCCATCTCTTAAAAGTGTCCTGGAGCTCTTGGGTAAAGGCCCATGGCTTGCGGGTGGTAGGGACAGGTATTTCCCAAAAGACCTGGCAATCCACCCTTCTCATTATGCCAATCAAAGAGACCAGCAATGATAAAGGGCATGAAGGGAGTTTTAATCAGCATGGCCACGCTGTGAAGAACAGGTATAGGGGTACAACCAAAGAGTTATCTTCAAGAGACGTCAGAAACTCTGAGGTTTTATAGAAAAGAGGAAAAGGGCTCTGGATGTGGCTCAAGCGGTAGCGCTCGCCTGGCATGCTTGCAGCCCGGGTTCGATCCTCAGCACCACATACAAAAAAAAGATGTTGTGTCCTCCGAAAACTAAAAAATAAATATTAAAAGAAAAAAAAAAGAGGAAGAAAGGCAAGAGTTGGGTCCTGTGTGGTTGGGGCGGTGGCATAACTAGCAGAGGAGTTTACCTTGGTCAGGCCATTGGTCTGGTTGATCACTATCTGAGGATTGGTTCAGCTAGGAGGCTTCAGAGAAGTCCTTATTCCTTGAGGGAGCAATTAAATTCCCATGAAATGATTGCTTCTGCTTGTGGGGCCAGGAGGTGATCTCACCATGGTGTGGCCTGTCTGCCAGGCTCTGCCTTTCCTGGAATTCAAGATGACTGTAGGTTTATGACAATGACTGAAGACTTCTAGGTGGTATTCCAAGAGGTATGGAACAGGACATGGTGAAAACTGAATGTCCCCCGTCAGTAGCATCAATCTATATTTCTAGTGACTAGGGAGGCTGAGGGGGTGGATTTCAAGTTTGAGGCCAGCTTCTGCAACTTAGGAAGACCCTGTCTCAAAGAATAAAAAGTGATGGGGATGTAGCTCTATGGTAGAGAGCCCCTGGCTTCAATCCCTAGTAATATAAACAAATAAATAAATAATAGAAATAAATAATAATATATATTTATAATAAATAAATAATAGAAAGGGCTGGGGATGTTGCCTATTGGTAGATTGGCCCTGGGTTCAATCCACAATACTGTAAAATAAAAAACTAAAACAAATCCTAAGTGTCCCAGCAAATCTTGAAAAGACTTTCAATGCTCTTACCTTGGTAACCTTAGTCTTAAAAGAGAGTCAAGATATGTAAACCCTTTTTTTTTTTTTTCTTTTGCAGTGCTGGAATTGATCCCAGGTCTTCCTGTATATCATATCAGGCAGATGCTCTATCACTGAGCCATATCCCCAGTCCATGTTATGTAAATTTTAGAGTGAAGTCTCAATTAATTTATAGTATCTAGTTTCTGGACCTTAAAATTATGAAGGACCAAACCCTCCACTGGATAACAAACATCCTCAGAAGTACAGTCATCCTGTGTGGACCCCCGTAATGGAAGCAACCTTGCAAACCTCATAACATCTTTTTGGCTATAACTGTTTTGTATCTAGAGCCAAGTTACTAATTTTCTTTGCAGGCATCCATCTGTAGGATACCAGAATATGCCATCCCAAAATATGCCTCATTGATGTAAGGATTATTTTAAGAAACAGCATAAGCTATGAAAACAGCATAAGCTACTCTTTTGGAAGGGAAATTTGCATTTATAAATCTCCATTTGAAAGGGTGTCTTCCACTCTGCACCAGGAAGAGGATGACTAAGTCAGTAGAGGTTGTTATTAATGGAGCAGGGACAGATTTAAATCTGTGTAACAATTAGGTGTGGTGGTAAATGCCTATAATCACATTTGGGAGACTGAGGCAGGAAAACTACGAGTTTGAGGTCAGCCTCAGCAATTTAGCAAGGCCCTATCTCAAAAATAAAAAGTTCTAGTTTTATAGCTCAGTGATGAAGCACATCTGGCTTCAGTGCCCAGTACCAAAAAAAGAAAAAAGTGCCCACTAATTCTGTGTAACAAAACTTTTTTTTTTTTTTTTTTTGTGTGTGTGTGTGTGTGTGTGTTTCTCTCTTTTTTGTGGTACTGGGGATTGAACCCCAGGGCACCTTACCACTAAGCCACATTTCCCAGCCCTTTTTATTTATTTTGAAACACAGTTTCATCAAATTGCTTAGGGCCTTGCTATTTATTTTGCTAAGGCTGGCCTTGAACTTGTGATCCTCCTGCCTCAGCCTCTCAAGTTGCTAGGATTACAGGCATGTACCACCACACCTAGTTGTCTCTTTTACTGTGTTTTTCCTGGTTACCTTCCCATAACTGACACCCTCCTC